ACCCAAAAACCCCTGAAATAAGAAAGGTAGGGGTCCATGCTTCTTATTTTGGGGGGGGTTCACCTACCCTATCCCCTACCCCCAAGCCCACCCCTGAACCCCCTAAAATTAGAAATGTAGGGGGCTACGTTTCTTATTTCGATGGTTTTCCACGACCCAAAAACCCCTGAAATAAGAAACGTAGGGGTCCATGCTTCTTATTTTGGGGGGGTTCACCTACCCCTCTCACCTACCCCTAAGCCCACCCCTGAACCCCCTAAAACAAGAAATGTCGGGGGCTACGTTTCTTATTTTGATGGTTTTCCACAACCCCAAAACCCCTTACCAAAATAAGCATTTCTTATTTTTGGGTTGTGGTTACATTGCGTATTGTGGGTTGGAGGCTCCATGGCCTAATGGATAAGGCGACTTTCTCAACAGCAGACTTCTCAACCTTCAGGGGCTCGAACCCCGGAATAAGAAATGGGCTAAGAAATGAAGGGTGCCCAGCTGGGGCTCTGAAATAGTGGAAATGTGAAAACACTGCCTAGCTAAGAAATGAAGGGTACCCTACGCCTGGCAGACCCATTTCTTATCCAGGAGATGCACTGTACTTCTTGTGGGGTTGCTACTGAGTTAGGGAACCCACCTATACAGGGATTATAGTTGGCTTCAATGGGGTCCGTCACAGTATGCGTACATGAGAAACGTTTCTTTCACGGCTGAAATCCCAAAGAAATCATCCTTTCCGCTGACGCGTCGAGTCCAGGACCAGGGCTTACTTCCATTTGGGCTCCCTACTTGGAGGGTCATGGAGACTTAGTGAGGAGATTAAAAGTAATGGAGATAATTATAATTGGGGCTAATTTACAGCTTGTAGGGGCTGATAACCTACTAACTAATTAAGTCCCTGTGACCCTCCAAATTCTTCCTCTTCCTACTCGGCCTACTGCTCACAAGGATGCTTACCGAGATGAGTGTCCATGTGCATCCCCCTCCCTCGCCTCCATCTTCAAAATCATGTGGGACCGTAATAGTGGTAAGCATCTGTATAGAACAACTCGAGTTGTAGAAGAGTATAAAACAAGTCTGCATAAGCCCAGCTTCCATGCTATTTTCCATATGCTTCTCCATTATTGGAGGATCGGGAACAAGGGGATCATGATTTGGCATGGGGTTGGCAAAGCTTGTGGCTGAAAATCAGATTTTGTTACTTATGCTCAACTGCTTTGAGTTCAAGAAGGTTGCTTGCTTCTCCTCAGACTAGGTATGAGTAGGACAAGGGCCTTCAGAGTACAGAACAACTTGTTGTACCTTGTAGGCAGACCAGCACGTCCTAGGGACAATCCCATGCTTTCGTCGCCTGACCCAGGCAAAGCAAGGTAATCTTAACGTCTGCCGGCAGGAGTCATCCAGCTTTTTGCAGGTAGTGTCATCGTGCAGCACGACAGGTTGGACGCCGGAGGGAGCCTCTTCCAACATGAAACTGGAAGCCAAGGATTAAGCGCGGGCCTAAGCTGAGCTTGGGAAGAGGACCCCTTGTAGGCGGCAAAAGGATTGCAACCCTTCGAAGAGTAAGCCCAGAGACCTGCCACGCGGGCTACATGTCGGCTCTGCAGAGCAAAAAAATTCTGCAAGCCCCTCTGCAGAGGCCTTGAAAAACTCCAAAGCAAGGCTTGCAATATTGCATCTCCGAAGTGTCATGTCATAAGCACCTTGAGCCAAAAACCCAGCCTGTGCTGTCCTTCAAGAACTCTGCAGTAGCTACGCGGATGGTGTCTCCGCGCTGTACACTGTTCGCGTGATGGGAGGTCGAAAAGCTCCCGGCTACTCAGGAAACTTGCATGGTTGGATGGAGAGATTAGCAGTTCCTAAGGTATCATATGTTACATGCCAACATACATAGACCACCTTTTACTACCAGCGATCAAAAATCTATTTCCTTGCTGTAAGCGTACACTGACACAAATCTGATCAAAGCTAGCTGACTAGCAAATGCTCTTCCATTCTTAAAAGGCAAGTGTCTGTACAGGGTGTGGATAAGCCATCTGAACATGCCTCCACGCCGCTGATGGTACTTGGTGATGTCCAAAACTTGCGCTCATCTTATGTGGAGCGCGGGAGGTTCCAAGCTTGAAGGGCAACAATGCAGCGGGCTCAAACACGAGAGGCCCAACTTTGCAGAAAACATTGCAGCCCCACATCCACCCACCCCAACCCACACCCCAACACGTCAGTTGCCCTGGAAGGCTACAAGGCCCTGGCTCCGAAATCTGCCGCTGGCTGGTAGGGGCGCCCAGCAAGGCGGTAAGCTTCGGCGGCCCAGCTCTGCCACGCCTCCACGAGCTTAACCTGCTTCGCAAAGCATCGTGATGATCATGGTGATGGCAGTGATGACGTACATAATGCTGCAGCAGTCGGAGGGGGACGAAGGCAAGAACAAGGACGAGGAGCAGCAGCTGCAGGAGGAGCAGTTGTAGGAGCAGCAGAAGCAGCAGGAGAAAGTTTGGGATTCGACAAACTTGTCGGTCGGAAGATAAGATTGCTGCCAATGGTTGCATTGCAACATATGCACAGTGAACCCTAGTCCTGAGTAGCCATACCTATATGCTGGCAGTTTAATCTGCCTTAAAAACAACCAACTAAAGCTCGCGGCAGGCCTCACGGTACTCCAGGCCTTGAGATTCACAGTAGGACTTGGCGCATGCAGCTAGCTGCTGCTTCTTCATGCCTGAAAGATGGAGGTTGTGGGCTGCTGCCCGCGGAGTTTATGAGTTGGGGGCCTGACGAAATAGCTCTCGCGGTAGATACCTTTCCAATACGTGGAAACCCAAAAATGCATAAAATGTTCGTAGATCTCAGCCACTTTCAGATACACAAAGACGAACTGAAGCACGAGTCTTCATCTTCTACTGGTGGCCTAGCATCTTGCACTAGCAAGTAGAAGCAGAAAAGTCGCCACAGTCTCTGTCGTGTACTAGGACATCTCATGCGAAATCTACAGGGCTCTCCCTTTCACTGTCACGAGGAAAACCTGCACCACCTTGTAGACTTGATAATTATCAAGGAATTACAGCATGCTAGCTTCCTAAATGGTGCAAAATTTCCTCCATCCACTCTCTCATTGTGCCACCCGCCTGGTACACGGGGCCAGAGGTGATGCTCAATATGATAGTCATTGCCTGGGTTCTGTACGGGGATAGGTGTATTCTGAAGCACGAATGTTTTTAGAACTCGTGGCTGTAGGGGATATGGGTTGTAACCCTGCACCTGCCCATGTTTCATGGAGCTTTACACTCTCTTTGCAGTGCTTGCTTGACATGCCCACATAGATCTTGAGGTTTTTGTGGGCATGCCTAAAGCAACTCTGCTTCGTTTTGAAATATGCCTAGATACCTGGATTCATCAGCGACAACACAACCAAACTAACGGTCTGTGACGCATACCTCAGAGGAGCCTGGCATGTTGAAATCGCAAGAGCCTTGATTCTGAACTGGGCTGTCTGCTGCTTGTGAATATCCGAGACCCCGAATCATTTGGGCGTCTGTACTCTGACTATGACGGAAACAGCTCAAAAAAAATGCTGCTTTGCCCAGGCGCCCATCATAAAGTATCGGATGAAAGGATTCTCATGCTCTGCAATGTTAGCAGTGGCCGCCACCTGCTGCGCATAGTAACCAACGGAACTGGGCGGCACGCCCCTCGCATCGTGCACTGGTGCTGTCAGCAGAGTCAAGCATGCACTCATGCCAATGCTGTACCTTAACAGCTTCGTACGTTGCTGCTAGCAAACACACCACCCCTTACTACCCATAGCCACGAATAAAAGCTGATATACTGCTGTAGCTTGGGCACATGGCAAAGCCAACCGGCCCCAGCAGGCAAAGCCCCAGTGCCAGGTGCATGGCTGTCAGAGCCGCACCTTTCCAAACCACTTCGCGGTCATGAGCAGAGCACTTCGCACTCTGCAGCGGCCCCACCAAGCTCTGAAGCATGAACATTCCTGCACATGGGGGAAGAGTTGTTTGGGAGCATGTAACACACAACAATAATACCACCTACACCCAGCCCACTGCACATCCTTGAAAGAGACTCAACGTCAGAAGCATGCAGCAGAGAGCGGTCATCGCCCGGAGGATGGGATTGTGCCTTGCCGGTTCGAAAGGGTTGCCGTGCCGCAGCGGCCCTGCTAGGTCGTCCAGATCTCCCATGTTCACGCTGCCAGCTGGAGTGCCATGGCGGAGTGACTGCGCCAATACAGCGCCCTGATAACTGCCGGTGAAGGCATGATGCTTGACATGCACCCCTGACCATGGCAGGATGCCATAGCATGTCCCAGTAATCAGCACCAGCACATCCGAGAGCTTTTCCTCGAAGCTTGCGCCTGTATGATGGAGGTGACGCACATCGTGTTGAAAAACAACGATGGGCACCGCCAGTGCTCCGGCAAGAGCAGCTAGAAAAGGCGAAGCAAGGACAAATGAAAGGATAGCACAAGCACATGTCAAGGTCACCGCCAGCATCAGGTGGCCTGCATAGTCCTCCCATTCAATCTGCGTCAGATCAGAGGGTGCAGGCGGCAAGTCCACGCTCCGCACTCCTTTCCCTCTATGCGTCCTGCAGGCTGACACCTTTCGCATCTTTCGGGTGGAAACGGCGCGACAGCTGGCCACTGCGGCCATGACAGATTTAGCAAAGGCGTCTGTGGGCTGAGCTGCGCGTTGAGGAGCTGCAGCTACTACTTTTGCATGGCAGCCCACCCTCACGGAGGTCATTGCTGGACGGAGGACTGGGGCAGCAAGCGCCATGTCGCAGACCCTACTGCTGACAACACGGTCACTGTCTGCTGAGCCTTCAATGAGCTGGCAGAATTTCTTCATGTGCGGATGATAGACCTATCTATCTGGAGAGTAGTTCACAGATGATAGAAACCCCATACCCAATGCTCTTCAAAGAACAGGATCCAAATCATAAGTCCTGAAAACATTGACAAATACCCACCATCATCCTGTCCTCACGGCAAAAGTTGCGGTGGCAAGAACTCTGGAGCCTTTTGTCTTAATAACTCTAATCTAAATCTCCTGGCCCCAAGTGTCCAAGGGTTTGGAAGTCCATATGGGAGTTTTCTAAAATTAGGGGTACCTTTTTGGAGGTCCCCATAATAAGGATTATAGTATATTGGGGTCTATATTGGGGTCCCCTTCTTTTGGGAAACTACCATATACACCGAGATCAGCCCATAAAAAAAGTCAGCGTGGGTGGTCCCTTGAAGCCACCCTGCACTTAGATGCCATGCACGCTGACGGGGCCTGCTCTCTCGAATTTAGCCGGCTCGGCGAGGATGGCATACCTTCAGCTTTCCTACCATCTTATAACTACTTGGAAGGTCATAATGGAAAAACAAAAACTACCCTTTTCTTCAGGGTTAGAGTTTAGAAACATGAGGACTTAGTAAGTAGGTCAATAACCCCTATAAAGCCATGCAATAATCTCAATGATGCCCATTATTGACCTACCCGCAAAGTCCCCATGAGCCTCCAAGTACTGTGGATGGAGGGAAATCTTGCACGTGAGGCTCCCTCCATCCACCGTAGTGGCATCCTTTGCTACCGACTAAATGTCTAATCTTGCCTTCAGGCCACCCTGTGGAGATTATGAGCTATAGTCGAGGCCCCCATATAATCCCCTTAACCCACTTTAAGGAGTTTACAGTACAGCTCATATCCAGCCTTGCCAACTCGGAAACTTTGCATCCCGTTTAAGTGGAGTCCTGATAAAACTGTTAGGCCGCGGTCTTGGGCTTAGGGTTCAGAGTTTGGTGTCGCGGTACGCAGTGACCTGGGCATAGACCACGGCTGTAAAATCCTAAGCGCTGAGACTCAGATTCCACGCTGCAAGTACAGACAAGTACAAGCCTTCATGCTACGCCCCCGCCCACCAAGAACTTAGAACATTGGCCCGACGGCTTGCCAAAGACGCGGCGCTTTCTCCAAATCTTGAGACTTCCCCGGCATATCCCCAATCGCGTCCTGCTACGTTGCATCATCTTGGTTGCACATTCAACCCTTAGGGCCCCATAATCTCCTAATTTTCAAGGCCAAACCACCGAATCAAATATGATCAGAGCTGGGACTCTCACTGCCTGACAGTAGGCGATCTGGATACCTCAGAGTCAGTGGCAGGTTCTTGGTTCACCCACGTATGCCACTGCTACAATTCACCTCTCACGGCAACACCACAGCTGCCGCGACTATCCCCATTACTCTAGTAGCTCTAGTATTAGAAGCGCTGCTGGTTTTGGACTCTGAGGCCTCGGGTCATGAAACAATCCTCCGAATAATGATGCAAGCACAACCTGCCACAATGCAGGCTCCCATGCGGAAAGCCTAGGCCGGCGGATCGCTATGTGCCAAATCCAGGGCCGGTTCGTGGCCTAAACAGTCCAACATCTTGAGGGCATATCAGGACATTAGCCTTCGCACACACAGTCTCTTGTAAGCCGATTGTCCCTCTTGATCTACCTTGAACTACCTCCTTCAGCTATTCAGTGCATGGGGGCAGTACCTAGACCATACGCTGCTAGCCCATGTCTTCATGCTAGAGACCCCAGAAAACCTGCGGTGTTGAGAAGCCATATGGATGCCCCCACACTTTTCCTTCATCGAACTCGTAAAAGCAACACAAGCATCGTGTCTGAACCCTAAACCCAGAAACCCAAACAAACTCCCAAACCCTAAAGTCTAAACTCTAGAGGCCCAAAATTCTCCAAGATCCTGAAGCCCCAAGCCCAACACTAAACCCTAGCTCCAGAGCCCAAGCCCTAGGCCTGAAGACCCCACCCAGCTACAGCCAAGCCACGATGGAATCGGCGAAGCAGGGACCGAGGATGCCTTCTAGCTGAAGTTTAAATAGGGATTTCCCAAAAGGGGTTTAGGGGTTTAGGGTTTAGGGGTTTAGGGCTTAGGGGTTGAGGGTTTAGGGTTTAGGGCTTAGGGTTTAGGGCTTAGGGCTTACGGTTTAGGCTTTCCCAAAATCATATACTATATAAAGGAATTATAGGGATATATAGGGTTTAGGGTTAAGGGTTTGGGGATTTCCCACAATCTAGCTGAAGTTTAATTCAGAGGTCATATGGGGATAGATAGGGATAATGGAAGAGAAAATGGAAACTACCTCATTATTATAGGGTATATATTGGGGTTATAATAGGGAATATGGGAGTATCTTGATTCCCAAAATCAGGGGTACCCTTTTGGGGGTCCTCATAATAAGGACTATAGTATATTGGGGTCCCCCTATTTTGGGAAACTACCAAATCAAAGGTCATAATGACATCAGGGTTTAGGGTTTAGGTCCAGCGACCCAGGGCGCAAGGTTCCTCAAGAAGATGAACCCTAACGGACCCAGGGACATGTACAGATCGCATCTGGGTTATTGGAATCCCATTAAAAAGTTTCAATGGGATTTAATGTTGAGGAACCTCCAGAACATACCTCTGATGTTCATGCCTCATGGACATGGTTGACTTTCATTCGCTGCTCGGGCAACAACTTATCAAAACATAGGAGCAAGGGATCCCTTAAGAGCAGACCAAACAGCTGCCCCATTTGGAATATGGTGGTTTCCCAATATAGGGGGATCCCAATACAGACCCCAAAAATTGTCATCCTTATCTAAGGGCCCCCAAAACCTAATTTTGGGAAACCCCCATATACAAGAAGTCCAGAGCGTCTGGAAGATGTCTGGTCAAGGAGCAATGCCTAAGCAGAGCTCAATTGAAGGGCGCTTCTACTAGAAGATAAGCATTGGAAGCACTTCGTGAATGCTCCGAAATGCTTAATCACACTGTTCTGATCACCAGTTGTCAAGAAAGCCCTGGCACAGGGAGCGCAATTCTGACTACGTTTTTAAGTTCGATATTCCAAGGCACCACCGCTTCCTAATTCCCTCCACCCAACACCCTGAATCCCACACTCTAAATCCTAAGCTCGAATCGGCAAACCCTGAAATACAAAAACAAATCCCTAAAACCGTAAAGACCCAAAAGCCGAAACCCCTACATCCCCACTTCCCTTTTCAGAGTTTCCCCTTAAATGCCAACCTGGCTTCTCGCCAGCATCGGGTCCCCCACGCTTGAGTCCTCGCTGCTTCGTATGCTCGGGTTTTGGGTTATGCCAGGTTATATAGGCGTTATATGGGGGTTATACAGGCTTATAGGGTCCTAAAGGGGTTATATACCCAAATTTGTATGTTTAGGTATGTCCACACCCTAAACCCTATACCCTAAACCGCGGTATTGAGGGTTTCTCAAAATGGGTGGTCCCCACTCCTAAACATTGTATGAGGAAAGGTCAGCGGGCAAAGTAAGTAGGCGGATAACCCCTATAGGCCAAATGATAACCCCAAGTATGCACATTCTTGGCCTACTTACTAAGTCCCCATGACCCTCCATGTAGGACACCCGCTAATTGCCAGACTGAGGTGCAGTTCAGGCTGGGGTCAGATACACTAGCACCCAATCTAGGAAACTGTCTACTAGACGAGGCTCATAAACTCATCTCAGTAAAGTGAGAAATCTGTAATTACAAGCAGAAAATGCAAGCAAGTACCAATAATGGGGTAGCACGTGATCTGTTAATATGAGAATGACACAATACGCCCATGGCTGAAACACGGTAACCCATAATGAAAGCTGGCAATACATCCCTGGGACGAAAGTTTCGACATACGGAGGACTTCCTCGTACAGTAGCCTACACTACCGCGGAGAAGCGGAGAGGGCAAAAGTGTCATTTGGGGGAAAGGGGGGATTGCCATAGCCTGAGACGTGTCAACTTGAATCCGTGTGGCGAACTTTTCTCCTGCTGCAATAATCAAAAAAGACATGTCAATGAAGCAATAGACTGGCTCGAACATCGATTTAGTAGTATAGTAATGTGGTGATCTAGTAGTATATTGAGAGCATTAATTCTACAATACTATAATGGCTCTTACATGGCAATATGCTGATAAAGGCTACGCATGTTCAGAACCATAGTAATAGTTTGCACTGCTTAACGATTGCTCAAACATGGTAGTAGATTCTGTAATCCCCTAGACCTGTAATCAGAATATAATCCTGTACATTTCCTTCGGGCTTCATTAAACACAAACGTTTCCCTCGGGTTATACTGGAATGCAAGCAAAGAATTCCCAAGCAGGCTGCAGTACTGGGGTCCTTGCCTCTCCCCAGTCATAACCCGAAACCCTAAACCCCCAAACCCCTAAACCCAAACCCCTAAACCCAAACCCCTAAACCCAAAACCCTAAACCAAAAACCCTAAACCCTAGGTGGCACAATAGGGCCCTTGCCTCTCCCCAGTCATAACTCCGCGGCCGGGGTGGGGCACCAAGGGATGCGAAACCCAGGTCTGTGCCCGGCCCTGGAGTCGGGGGTGTAGGATTTCATTAGGGGCTTAGGGGCTTAGAATCTAGGGTTTAGGGGTTTAGGGGTTTAGGGGTTTAGGGGTTTAGGGTTGAGGGGTTGGGATTTGGTTTTGAGGGTTCAGGGGTCTAGGGTTTAGAGGTCTAGAGGTTTAGGGGATCAGGGTGTAGGGTTTAAGGCTTGAGGGTTCAGGGTTGAGGGTTTAGGGATTTAGGGATTTAGGGTAGTTGGGCTTTAGAGCCTAGAGTTCCAGGTTAGGGGTTTCAGGATATTGGGCTCTTAGGAATTTTGGGTGTAGGAAACCTAACAGGGTGTATAGGGATCTCGACTTTCATGTAGGGTAGTCTGCCCA